TTAAATATATGTTTCTTCAAAATTCCTTTATTATAATGTTTAATCTATTTGGAATTCAATACAAGCAAAATTTTAATTCGATTTTAAATCAGATTCAATTCTAATATGTTGAGTTCTTGTTCAATTTAAAATTGCATTTTATTGAATTCGTATGTATTTCTAGGGAATTGGTCTTATTTTGATTCTTTGAATATAGATTTTTTTCCAATATGGAAATATATGGTTTCTTTAATGAATATATTCTCACCTCCCAATAATACCCATGTTCTACAATAAAAGCAAAATTCAATTAGAATTCCATTTATGTTGAATTGGAATCAAATTAGAAAATTGGATGCGTAAAAGAATTGAATTTAATTTATATAAAGGCGTTAATATTAGAAATCATTTATAGAAAATTGAAAATTCGAATAGATAAAAATATAGTTTAATATAGAATAAATGAGAAATATATTATAAGAAAATATTTAATCTAGGGCTTGGTTAGTAGAATAATATTGATTTAGAATTAGGTTATAAATAGATTTAATTTGTCTAAAATGGCAGATTTAATTTATATTCAATTATATAGAATTCATATATATTCAATTTAGAATTAAATTAGCCATATATTATAAATTCATATATAAAACCAATTGTATTTTTATATTAGATCCAGGATAATCAAATATAATCAAAAATATAATAGAATTAAATTGGAAAGAAAATTGAATTATAATTTGATTATAATGAATTTCAAAAATATATATATTTATTTTAGAATTCAATTAGATTTAATTTAGAATTAAAATAGAAATTCATTTAGATTTTATTTTGAATATAAATAGAACCATAAATATAATTCAATTCAAATAAGAAATAATTTAGAATTTAATTAAATTATATTTAAACCAAAATTCATAGAATTAAAAATGGAATTGAATCAATAATTATTTAGAAATGAATAAGAAATATAAATTATTTCTTTTTGCCAGACCAACCAAAACCCAAAAAAAAACAAAAATTCAGACCCATGGAAAGGGACCCAGGAGAGATTAGCCAGGAGACATAGATCTAACAAATTCAGACCCATGGAAAGGGACCCAGGAGGTTAGATAGGAGATATAGGTCTGATTTATTTTGTTTTTGGACACTTTTTGGTAGACCAATCAAAACAAAAAATCAAAAAAAATCAAACCCATGGAGAGGGTCCCTCTCCATGGGTCTAAATTTTTGAGTTGTTTTGGTTGATCTATCAAAAAGTATCTAAAAATATAAAACACAACAAAAAAAAAAAATATATATATATAATATGTTCAAATTTCTGTCTCCTGTCTAATCTCTCTTAGGTCCCTCTCCATGGGTCTGATTTTTTTGATGTTTTTATTTTGATTGGTCTGTAAATAAATATTCAAAATCAAAAAACAACAAATTCAGACCTATGTCTCCTGTTTAGCCTCTCCTGGGTCCCTCTCCATGGGTATGTGTTTTTTTGTTGTTTGTTTTGGTTGGTCTGCAAAAATATGTCTAAAAATCAAAAAATAAAAAATTTAGATCTATATCTCCTGTCTAGTCTCTCCTGGGTCCCTCTCATGGGTCTTTTTCTTTATTTTGATTGATCTGCCAAAAAATGTCCAAAAAACAAAAAAGAATCAGACCTATGTCTCCTGTCCAGACTCTCCTAGGTCCCTCTCCATGGGTCTGATTTTTTTATATAATTCTTATTTTGGCTAGGTTACCAAAAAAAAATCAGACCTATATCGCCTGTCCAACCTCTCCTAAGTCCCTTTCCATAGGTCGTATTTGTTTTACTAATCTTTCAAATGCAACAAATAAATTAGACCTATCCAACCTCTCCTAAATTCCTTTCCATAAATATATATATATATTATATTTTAGGATTTAAATATTTTTTAGTAGATCAATCAAAATAATTTTAAAAAAATAGAATTCATAAAAGAAGATCCAAGAAGGGCTAGACACGAAATATAGGTATAGTTTTATATTTTTTTTATATGTATTAATCTAATTTTATTAGTGTTTTCTTAATACGTCTATTATATTCAAAACATATATATATATTATCTATTTTTTTAATATTATTATTCATATAAAAATTTATATTTCTATATCCCCCATATTTATTCCTTTTATTATTATAATTCAAATTAATTTAAATATTTGTCATTAATATAATAATTACCAAATATATTATAATATCATATTCACAAAAAATCATTTCTTTAAATACAAAATATATAAAAATTTTAATTCAAATAATTCTTAAATATAAATTATTTTCTAAAAAAATAATTTATATAATATATTATATATAAATAATATCAATTTTTTAAAAAATAAAATATTTTTAAAAAAAATAATCTATAAATCTTGATATTTATGTACTAATTATTCCGAAAATATAAATAATAATCATTCCGAAATATATTTTGTTTTAAATAAATTTTATTATTTCATTAATTTTGTAAACATATTATAAAATAAATATATATATAGCATAATTGTATATAATATCAAATATAGAAAATAAATTACCGTTTAAAAATATTTAATTTAAATATAAGAAAAATCAAATCACAGGCCCCACGGCAATCCATTTTTAAGAAAGCGCCGCCATACGGGCCAAGCGGCCAAACCAAAAAAGAATTAAAATAATCAAAAACGTATACACACCGAGTCTTAACTAAACCCTCCCAGAAATCAAATGTTTAATTATAAATTCTATTAAATCTTTGTTCATAAAATATAGAATTTTCCATAGAATGTCCCATTAATAATATTAAAAAAAGAAAATATTAACTAAAACGAATACATATTTTAGAATAATTTTTCCGCCGCGCCAAAATTAGCGCTATATATATATAAAATTATTACACAAAACGCCGATCGCGACGCTATATATGTGTATTAATACCTATTTCTAAGTTTTTACCTAATAATTTTATCGTCGATTCCATTAAAACGCCGAATATTACTAATAATTTCTAGCCTTACTACTAAGACCAAAAAAAGCAGACAATCATAAATTTACCACTATTATTATGGCCCACGAAAACCGACAGTAGCAAGTATAAAAATGTGCCTATAATAATTGTTTAAAATTACATAAGTGATTTACTAGATATTCAATAAAGCGGTTCATGTATAGGCGATCTATTAAATATTCAATAAAGCGTTTAATGCATAGGAGCCAAACCTTTTATTAAAACATCTTCAAATAAATAGACCTATCGCCTCTCCGTTCTTTCGCCTTTCTTCCACTTGGGAATTGACTTAACTAAAAACCAATGTCAGAGTGTGACTCGCTCAATCGTCCCACTTGGGTACTAAGCATGATCCTCCGCAAGGAAACGCCGTTTCTACTTCCACCGTTTCCACCGTTCGTTAAATTCTCTTAACCGACTTTGTTTCACTACTGGATCAACTGCCACCAAGCCGCCGGGCTTCACGGAAATTTCACATTTCATGGCATGGGGATGCGTTGGAACAAGAGCCTCGAATAGGAGACCCTTCAAACAAGTTTCCACGGTGAACGATGAGACACGACACCCCTCCCTACCCCCTGGCCTCCGTTGTTATCCCACCCGTTATTCGGGCAACAGAAGGAAATCGCACTCAACACACTTGTGTCTTGATGCCTTTCCTTCTGTTTCTCCTATCTATTGCTAGCTAACCGAGCGGTCTAAAACAAAGGTCCCGCTCGCGAGCTACTTTCATTTAACTAAGTGGGCCTCGTAACTACACCTATCTTTCTTTCTTGCCCTCTTAGTCTGCTTTTGTTGCGTTTTCTTTGTCTGTCTTTCTAAGGCTTTTTAAGTGGCTAGTAATTTTTCCGCCGCGCCAAAATTGGCGCTATATGTACGAAGTTGTTGCACACAGAGCGCTGATAGCGGTACTGCGTATGTATTAACACCTATTTCTAAGGTTTTACCTAGTAATTTTACCGTCGGTTCCACTAGAAAGCCAGGTGCTACTAGTATTTTCTAGCCTTTCTACTAGGACCAAAAGAAGCAGGGGGCCGCAGTGGCAAGTGTGAAAACGTACCTAAAAAAAGAATTGCTTAAAATTGTTTAAAGCGGCTAGTGCATAGGCGGTCTATTAGGTATTCAGTAAAACGGCTAACGCATAGGCGGTCTGCTAGGTATTCAATAAAGCGGCTAATGCATAGGCGGTCT